TTTAAGGTCATGTAGTAGAGTGTTAAAAAGTTTTACAGATTAAAGGCAAATTCACGTCAATCCAGGATTTCTACGAGAAGTTTCCGCGATAAGAAAAAAAAGAAAAAAACCCTTCTTTCTAAGAAAAAACCCTCTAGTGATGGGATAGTCGCCTTTACTTCTTACTATCTGATAGAGGTCAAAGTCATAAACTACCCTATCCTCCATTTTTATCACGTGGAGTCTCACAAATCACTTAATTTTCAAAAAACCTAATTGTCGGACAAAATAGGTACGAAAAGATTATTTTCAGACATTTTTACATCCAGTCAGATCAGCTAAGCACTAATTAGCATATAACAAAAGACTTTGAACTTTAGGAACCATTTGGGTGCGCATTAATAAGGGGAGAAAGGGATCAGGATAGCCTGAGGGAATACTAAAAATAGACAAGGGATGTACATTGAAATAGACGATGTCATAAAGAATATATTCTTTGTATTAAAATTTCTAGGCTCTGGATATTCACAGGTCTGATAAATTTACATATTTATTGTGGACGAATTTTCGTAAAGTCTATGAGCATTGAATCCAAATTCAAATTCAAGTCATTCCCGCCAAAAAGTGAACTAATCGATAATCGATTAGCAATAGCGAGCGTCAATAATTCCGCTCTTTTTGCCGTACAAAAAATTTCTGCTGATTCTTACCAATAATCGAGAACTGTATAAAACGCCTCTTCCTCCCCCCCCCTTCCTCCTCGAACTAATCCGTCAACTCTCGATGATCGATTAGGCCATAGCAATCGTTCTCAGTTGTGCTTAGAGTGTGTTTGCACACATGCATGTGATTAACCTGAGCAAAGGTGCAATCAAATAAACACGCCCTAGTTTCTTCGCCCATTTGGCGTTGGGGCTGTGTGTACATTACCATGCGCGGCAGCCCCAATACTCATCATCAATTTATACTAAGCCGTTCGCGGTCAAATGACGTGAGACGAGCATTACCCGTGAGGAAAACCTCCGCGAAAAAGTATGAGGTAAATCGATCAAAGACGTTTTTATCATAGAATAGTCACTGAGAGGTGCAGTGTTGTCTCAAAGAGGTCAAATGTTCTTAAGCACAGCTTTAGAATGACTTGGCATACGATTTCCATGTAAACCACTTGAAGTTCAAACGGTAGTTCTCATCCACGCAGTCTTTGGTATAATTGCACTAGATTCAGCACAAAACGTAGGTTGCCATAGAACCACCGCGTAAGTGGAAGACACCACTCGCAAGAAGCAAGAAAAAAAAACGTTTGATTACTCATGACACCGTCATACGGTGGAAATTTGGACATAGTGCAATCACACAAAGCGACCGTTGAATGGCTACAGGCGCAGAATTTGACTCTCTGTTGGAATGAATCCAGATTATTATACCATTTATAAAGAAACAAAGCTTACAAGGAAATGGTCAGGAGTCGAAGTGGCCAATCCATAAAAGCTGCATATGATTCGATGCAGCATAAAATTACGATTTCAATCTGTCTTTCATATCTGCAGAGCGCCTTTGTACGCGAAGTTATGAGCAGCTTTACTGCGAAAAAGCCGTATACAAAAATTGCGAAATCAGGCACATTATTGCTTTTTCGACTCACCTCTAGGTACGGGTCATATGAGTTGACCTAGTTGCATGTTTTGGTCCAACACTGAGCCGAGAATGGCTTTGTACGGCCGAGTTTGCACTTTACACGCACAAATTCTTAGCAAAATAATGGTTTTCAAAGGCTTATAATTTCGTCCACAAAAGCGCTCTGCAGATAAAGAAGACAGATTTAGAGTCAGCGTTTTATGCTGCATCTAATGGTATGCAGCTTGTATGGATTGGCCACTTCGATTTCTGACCATTCCCTTGTTAGTCGATGAACCAAGAAAAAAAACAAAAGGTCTAATTTGGCGCAAGAAAATCGATTACCGATTTTTAGGGACTCATACGAATCCGCATAGAATCAGCGATGTATCTTGCAACATATGACGTAAATGGAAAAACAAGCTTAGCAAATTCATAGTTTCTCATGGAGCACTTGCAATCCAGATAAAAATATCTTTAAGTTTTGGAGTAGACCCAGCGATGGAGATGCAATCTAATGTTTCCCATAAAGAAAATGTAAAAATGTGCACAAAGTAGATGAAATAATTCGCAAGGACCAAATGGAGCAAATGCAGAGAAAAATGAGCAGCATGATCCATATCATGCAGGGGTACAGAATCGCATATGCAATCAGCTTTTTGGGTCAGGTTGAAATCCAATTTGAATTTTTGAGTTGAAAATGAATTATTCCGGTAATTATACAGTAAAAAGATGTCCGAAAGGTCTGCAAAGCTTGAAGAACAAACCTTTTTACAGAATAGAAGTTCAAGCTACTTTAACTGGAATAATGCTCTGATATATACTCAAAAATGTTTGCTAGGAAGAGTCTTACATTGAAGGTAGAAACAAATGAAAAATAAAGCTAAACAATTTTGCTTTTAACCGGGTGAGTTTATTTTGATTATAGACTTTCGAAAAAAACAGAGCAGCTGGAAGCAATTAATTGGAGAGAAAAAAATGCAGTTTAACAAGCAAAATGCTTTTCGACTGCGAAGCTCAACAAGGTTAATGAAGGGATGATTTATGCGTTAAAACCTACAAAGTATGACTATATTTTTCGAGACTTCAAGGGCTGAGGGTAGCCTTCGAAAGCCGCTCTGACAAACTTAGCCCCGGGAGCCGATCCATCATCGGCAAATGATGAACGAGTCATTTACGCTGGAAAAAACATGCGATTCGCTCAGTGTCCGGCTGGCTCTGACGTCTATTTTATTACTCGCCAAGGCAGCTCTAACTCATCGCCATCGCTTACGAGCGCTGGTAGCCGAGGTGGTAATTAGATCCGCGCAAATTTCTGCACACAAAACGGGTGTTCTTTCTTCATAGAGTGCATAAAATTAGCTGCCGAGGGGGGGGGGGAAGTACATCATCTCAGCAGTTAATATTGGGCTAAAACATAAGTCACCGAAGTTGTTCTCAAATTTGTCTTGCACCAGAATTTTTCTTCAAATCCAATCTACTCCAGGCCCGTGAAATAGTTTTGAAAAAACGCTGAAAGTTCCAAAATCTCTGATTTTTCTATTCACTTGGGTTTTAACTAATTTTTTACTTATATCACTATATTTTATATTCCTTTTTATTTATATTTTATTTTTTATAGTGTGCTAGTAGAAGGTCTATTAGAAGTTGGAATTTTTAGAATTTTTTATTTTCAATTTATTTTGATATTATTCAGAATAAAATCTCTGGATTGATAACAAAAAAAAATCAAACGATAAATTACTGCATATAATGAAAAGAAAACTATACAGGTTGAAACGAATTTTTAGGAATTTGCAAGACTTGTGTTTCAATCCAATTTAATGTTTACTAGTGAACCGGTACTTGAAGGTGCTAGATTGCATCCGTGCGCTTCGGGACCGCACCGCCGTTTCCCGCTATTTGGTATTTTTTGAATTGGCCTTACGAATTTTTATTTAGATATACATTCAGCCAATTTCGCTCTCGCTTCAATGAGTCTTTTCTGAGGGGGGGGGGGGTGAAAAATGCAATTCATTACCTAACTCAGTCAGTTGTGATCAGAGCGCACTTTGTCGATTAGTACGAGTGTTCGCGCTCCCGCTAATTATAGGGTTACGGGGTCAAGTAAGCGGAATGATTTGCTTGGAATTGTTCAGGCCATGCCTAACCTAGCTGCCTCCAAAATGACAAAGAAAACAGAAGAAATGAACTAACATAAGTAAGCAACTAAATCATCGAAGGCTTCACAAAGCGCACAAGGAAACAGGGCCAGAGAAAGCGGGCTCTAAGTAGACAATTCATCAAAGACAGAGCATCACTTTTTCTCTTCTTACATTCGCTATTCAACTATGTGCGAAACAACCCGTTCCCAGCCAAACTACTAACGCAAAAGTGCAGCTTGAGAAGGGTTCCTCTTTTGCACGAATTCGTTCTCATTTCAGCAGAAATGAGCATGTGCTTAGAGATGCGCACACAGGAGAAGGTTTTTTCTTCAGCTTGTCAAGACACTGCCATACTTGGAAGCTATGAATTCGTAGGAAAAAGTACACTGCTGGGCTTGGCGAAAGCTGACGAGATTGACTAGTCGAGAAATTTCCGCGTAGCAAAGGAAATTGGGAATTCCAAAGAAAATTGGAATTTCCGTAGAAAAACATTAGGTAGTTCTAAACAGAGCGAAAAAATAATTATGATACAAATGGGTCAAAGAGTAGTAAGCACTAAGGTTTGATAAAGTAAAAAAATTGCTGTGCTGTAAAAAAATAAACTGATTAATATATAACCTGCAATATAAAGAAAATGTAGAAATATATCTTGTAAGCACAGTAAAAAGTCACATCTCTCAATTAATTTTCATCTGAATATATTTCACGCTTACAACAGCATAATGTAATAGATATGTGTTGTAAAAAATATATAATCGATGGGTATGTAAGTTATAATATTAAAAAATGTAGAAATATCTCTTTAAGTAAGCACAGTAAGAAGTCAGATTTCCTAATTATTTTTTAGCAAAAAATATTTTATGCATTACGACTGCATGTTCATTTCAACAGATGCAATTAAAAATTTTCCACTTTTCCATGTAGGACCAACATTGTAGTTGACAGTGACCCTACAGTATTCCAGCATTGTGCCAAAGCCCCGCTGCCTCAAAAGAAGCCGGTAAATTATTCTAAATTCTAGTATTAATTTTTCTGTAGGAAATTTATTGCATTGAAGCATCGATTAATCCCTTATGATAAGAAAAGAAAAGTCTGTCAAAGCGCTCGAGTATAACATGAAGATTAGATAGGATAATGTCTTATGAACAAATTTTTTGCGACCCCACTGACATCACTCCCTTAATGCTTTGAGATAAGAGGGCAGAACAATAAAACACGAGCAAAACAAACAAATCTCGAGAAAATGAAAGAAACACCGCTAACCTGCTGATAACTGGCCACCAGGGTATCGTCATGGAACCAGTCAAGACGTCGGACCAGTTGTGGTGTCTCGAAATCCGGTGCCATATGTGTCTGAATGAAATTTTCGGCTGGAGCACATTCCAGCACCACTTGAGACGTATTATGTGGAGTGACCAGTGGATGATGTGTAGAAGTTTCTGGCCACGATCGGGTGGCCAGAAAAAGCGCCGGCAAAAGCGCCAGCAACCCGAAGTGCAATGACGTCATCGCACAGTTGACGCGAATAACATAGCAGTAACGGTATCGAATAGGAGATTTATGTTAGTTAGTGACTAGGAGCTGTAAGCGTAGACGTCTTCGACATTCATCGAATCCACGTCAAGTACGCCCAATGCATGCGCGTCGTGACAGGGGCGGGGCCGATTTGCTGCCTCGACAGCTTATAAAATAGCAAAGGGGCGGGGCTTCGACGGACTGCCGCCGGCGCTCAGAGCACGGTCAAGAGAGCCAGGATTCTGGGACGTGGAGGCCTTTTTTAGGGTTTTTCGTCGAGAAGTAGGCGCATTTGTAAATCGGCATGTTTAGGGGGAAATTTGCTGGAATCAAATTTTGCGGGGGCAATTTTTTCGCTCAGTGTTGCGAGAGACCGCATAAAAATGCACGTAAGTTTGGGCATTCGCGAAAAACTGAGGATTGATATGTATAAAGTTGTTTTCTGGAGTAGGATTTCCTACCTTATATTATATTCAATATCCACTGTGATGAAGCTTAAATTTCTTTTATATTGAAGTGGTAAAGAGGTTTTGCCTGGAAACCGCAAATTTATTGATAACGAAAAGTGGTGACCTTATATAAACGGTTCAAAGTTAGAGCAATTCATCGGGAGTGGAACTATCCTGAGATTTTACTACTGAATAACCAGTGGAAAAATTATTATTTTTTAAATCTGAAAAGTTTCTAATTTATCCTACGCTTTCCCATAATATAAACCGAAATCACACCTGCCTAGAAATTATTCAGTAGTCAAAAAAGTGGACTTGAAATGAAATATTGCTCTTTTCGTTATAATTTTTTTTGTTTTTTTAATGAATTCAAGTGCCCAAAGTTATGCTTTATCTCGACTTTTTTAGCACATCTTAGTGTTCAATGATTAAATAAAGAATGATTTATGATACTCGAAAGTATCTGAAGTACCTTGGCGATACTTATGCAGCGAGATCAGCAAACAAAGACAACCTACAAAAACTACTTAATTACATTTTTCTTTTTATTGGTTGGTCCCATGAGGTTTAAGTTATCTCATTGTAGATGCAATTAGCTATATTGTCAACATCATAATTTATTATATTCATCTCATAGCTGCATTGTTTTGCAGTATGTTCTTCTTCCCACATTTTCTGCACAAGCTGGTAATTTTTCATCAGCAAATGCCCCGTGACAGGTTTAATGGTATGAGATTCTCTCGTGTGGCTTTATGATGTGAAGAGTATCTTCAAAAAGGGTTTGAATACTTCGAGAAGAAAAAAATGTGCAAATAAACAACTTTTGCCTCTTTTTTTCCGCAAAATTCTTGGAAAGTCCTGGAAATCCTGGTATTTCTTCCTTTCGCTATTAGCGAAAAAAGTTTTTGCTCATGAGAACTCCAATCATGCATATGAAATCCCGAAGGTTTTATAAGCAGAAAGCAAGGCTGGAAATCAAAAACTATGGGCTTGACTTAGTTTTGGATTTATTCACATTTTTCTCTATTTTCTTGCAAATTTTGACTGTGTTGCATTTTACCCTCCTAAATAAACCTAATTTTGCAGCGGGTAATAGATGTGCAGCTATAGCATTGAGTCCGAAATGACATCATAAACTCTTCAAGTCATATTTTTCCCCAGATGGGTCGCTTCTCCTGGCTCTCGGCTAACTCATTTTGGACTTTCGAGCGTGCACCTCTCCACGTTTTTTGGCAGAAATGATGGGCAGAATCCAATCAAAAGCAAGCGCAAAAGGGGATTTATTCTTCAAAAACGAAAAAAATGATGGACATATTTATCTCTGTGATTATAAGCTCACAAGTGAGGAACTTTTTCAGAGATGGATCTCAAGTAGAAAGGGTAACCGCAAACAAAAATCCATTGCTTAAAATAATATGAAATTTTGGATGTGTTGGAGAAGACCATTGCATATTTCAACTCCGCTAAATAAACTATTTTTTCTACTATAGAAAGCTGCACGAAACTATTTTCTTGTTTTCTTAGTATTATAAAACTTTCTGAATTATTTTCTCAAGCTCTGTCATTGTGCTGTTGGACTTAGCCCGATTATAAAAAACCAAGATTTTTTTCTAATGTAAAAGATTCAAAATGGGTACTAGGTTGGGTCAAAAGTAATGAGCACGTTTCACTTTCTAAACTTAGAAACAAGTACGCTAAACGATACTTAAAGCAGCATTTCTTCCACTCTGCAGCACTCATGTTATCAACCTGATTTTTTTATAACTGCTTTGAAAATACCCAAAGATTCCAGCTCATCCTTTTTGCCTTATATAATTTTAGCTAATCGTCACGATTCTCAGTTCAAAGGTTTGAAAGACATCCGACGAAATGAAAATAGAGCAAACTATGTTTGGAGCAAAACTCCTTTGTTCTTCTCCAAACTAGCCTTTCCAGACTTCAAAAACGATTTTCTCAAGAGCTCTCAATTTTTGCAAATTTGCTCAAAACAAAAATGCACAAAACCCTTTAAAACTCAAAGGATTGAAATGGTCTAGAAATACCAAACTTTGAATTTGCAAAATAACCAACCGCTTCATAATTCCATTACTTTTGCTATGCGAAATATAGCATAAATTTGAAATTTGAAGTTAAAAACCTTTGTGTTCACTGCAGTTCTGTCAGAAGTTATTTGGAGATTCAGTTAGAAATTATAGCTGCCTAAAAGAGAGAAAAAAACCGCGTTGGATACCGTTTGGAGCACTTGTCCATCAATATTCTATCAGACTTGACAATACATAGCTTGCTCTATTTTCATAGTACGTATGTAGTTTGTTCTATTTTCGTTTCAGACATGTACACTTGTTATTACTTTTGACTCCCTCAGTAGAAACTAAAAAATATACGATTCTGCGACCCTCTCCAAATTTCAAATGACAATTGCACAGCTATGAGGAATAACATTTTCCATGATGTCAAAACAATAAAAATTCAGTAAAATAAAAAGAATTGCTCTCTTACTTGAATTAGGCATTGAATGGATCATACATATATGTACCTCAAAAAAACTGATGATCCAGTAAAAGTGGAAATTCTGAGAAGTACTTATATAAATTAATAAAACTTTTTTTTATTTTCTACAGTAATATTTTTGCATCAACAGTGATGAGAATAGAAAAATATTCGTTCAAATACCTCGAAAAAAGTTATTCTAACAGTTCTTTTGTTTAGTACGGAATTTCCAGTTTCAATTAGCAAATATAATAATCCTAGACACAGTGGTCTATTCCTTCCATTTCTCTGCCAGCAGCCAGACGAAACAATTTTTTTTCTGGATAGGAAATATGGGAGTTTCGAAATCTTCCATGATCTATCAAAAAGGGGACCAAAAACTGAAAAGAAGAGCGTTTCGAGGCAAAAGAGACTTTTTTGCAAAATGAAAAGTGACAGAGCTTACAAGGCAGGTCGATTAGTCGAAGCGGCCTTTCCAAACGAATCCTATACCACTTTGAAGAGTATCAAACGATGATTCCAAATTTTATTTCATTATCTGCCAAGCGCCTCTGCATGCCGAGTTATGAATAATTTTTTGGCCCGAAAAATGAGCACGGTAAAATCGGTAAAATCAAATTTTACGGTTTTCGGGCTCAAGTAGAGCAGTGTCGAGTGAGTGTTTTGGATAGAAGGTATTGTTCATATGGAGTGCTCCGATGATCAACATGGGACCACTTGAGGCATCTGGACGAATTTTGTGCTAATTATGCATACAATTTTCCAACTCAAAAAATGCTCATAATAATTCGACTTCCAGAGGATTTCGGCAGATAGCGAAGATAGATTTGGAATCAGCGTTCGATGCTCTTTATATTCGTATCAATTTGATGTAAAAAGGCCACTTTAACAAAACGGATTTCCCTTATTAGTAGAAGTGGAAAAAACGCTCATATGTAAGAATTATTTCAGCCGACCTACTTTTTTTGAAAGCTTATGGTCTGATGAAAAGGCGTGTGCGTTTGAATGTGTAGGTATAATTTTTCTTCAAATTTTGAACTCAAGAGAAATTCTCGTCACGGTATTTCAAAGTCGTTTTTTTTATTCAGCTCGCCATGATTTTCTCAAACTTCAGACTTTTTTCCTTACTTCCGCTTTCTTCCATGTAAAAAAACGTTCTCTTTGACTTCAAATCGCACTTTCACTTTCCCAGGTCTTAAGAAACCTACACAGGCACGAAACCGTGAGAATGATTAATTGACGGCAATGACTAATTGTTCGCTTCCGGACATTTGGCAGATGTTCTGAAATTTATTGCATATGTAACAGAAAAGCGTTCAACCGCATGAACCACTGAAACTATCGGTAACCTATGTGTACAAAGCCAAAATTCTCTATTGCAGAGTTGTTTCGCCTATTTGCGTCACATCTTCTACTTTCATTTATTCCGGAAACTCCGTTTTCTGCGGGCAATTTGCTAGATTTGCTGGACTCAAGCAATGTGCACGTGAACGAATGATGACCAATATGATGATTAAGAGAGCAAATTGTATTTTGAATGAGTGTTCGCTGGGCTGAATTGAACTGACGGAGTTCCACATTCTCGTTAAAAGTTGTAGTTGGGAATGAGAAGAGTTTCCAGAAACGTTGTGTTTAACTTCTGTTTGTTGATAAAAACCGATTGTAGACCAGCAAAAAACAGCTATGAGAACCTTTTTTCTCATTTTCAAATCAGTAAAGTTACGAAATCTCCAAAAAAGCCTTCGATATGTTCCTGCGATTTGGTTTTCTCAAGCCTAACTGGAGCTGAATGTGAGGCAAAATTCCATGTTTAATTTCAAATCTGATGATCTTTACAAAGTTTAGTAGTCCAAAAAGTGGGTTTCTTTTTTGAAGACAAAATTTTTGTAGAGTACTCACGATCGATCGTTTTTGCATATAACAGGAAAGTTTCAAAAGGTCTCTTACCTTAAGAAAGCCTCTTGGGTCGCTGACGCAATTTTCATGAGATGGTTACCTCAATCAAGACAACTACCTTAGATTCTGGAAATATGATCTTGCGATCAAATTCTGGCT